TTTCCAGTTAGGAGACTCAAGCGCTCGCTCCATCCAAATAATGTGAACTATTTTCATGATGACTAGACATCTGTCCTGAGAACTAAATACCTGGGCTCGGTGACAAGGTTTTCCTGTTCCTATGTCTGATATTGCTTACACACTGATCCTGGGGTAAAAGCCCAGGAAAATAAGAAGTGTTGTATGGATATGGATACACTCCCTACCCTACACAAAGCTCTGAAAATTGTTCGAATTTTTCATCTTTGATTAGGATATTTGGCTTAGGGGCTGGGGTTGTGGCTCAGTGGTAGAGCACTTGCCTAGCACGTGTGAGGCCCTGGGTTTGATCCTCAGCACCACATACAAATAAATAAATGAATGAATAAATTAATGAATGAATAAATAAATAAATGAATAAATAGATACATACATAAATAAAGATATTGTGTGTCCATCTACAGTTAAAAATATTTTTAAAACATGCTTGGCTTGCTACAGATAATGCCATCGGGAATATGTGTTGAAGTTCTAAACAAAGAGAAAATCACATCAGGAACATAAAAAAACACATATATTTAAAAAAATTTAACAGGTTAACATTAAATCAGCGTTTCTGAGTCTATATCCACTGAGCTAACTACAGAATCATCATGGGATAAAAAAACAAAAAACAAACAAACAAACAAACCAAAAAAAACACTTCTGAGTTTTTAAAATGTTGCTTCTAATACTTTTAGTGCAAATTCATTTGTGAACAATGAGTTACCATTGGAAATAATGATCAATTTATAGGTAGAGTTTGGCCGAGTCTTTTGAAAGAGAATCAAGGGACAATATTACAAAAAGAGATGCTTGATTAAAAGGTTTTATTTCTCAGGGCTATACCAGTGCTTTTGATTTAAGATTTTTATATCATCAAAAAAGCATTTAGGCTAACCAGGTAGTGCATTAGTAGCTATTACTCAACCCTGGGTGCCCTTGGTCTTGGACTACGGTGTCAATCTTCTCTTAAACTGTTCATGTCTAAATCAGTGTCATGGGTTCGACATGAGGCGTCCTCCAAAAGCTCATGGGAGAGACAACCCAAGAAAGTATGGAGGGGGAGATGATTGGGTCATGAGAGCCTTCACCTCATCAGCACATTAATCCACTTGATGTGGATTAATTGAGTGCAACTGCAGGCAGGTAGGGTGTGGTTGGAGGAGCCAGGTCACTGGGTGTGTGAGTGTGTCTTTGGGATTTACATTCTGTTCCTGGTGTGCAGAACTCTCTTTCTCCTGGTCACTGTGTCCTGAGCGCCGGCCTCCACCACGCCCTTCCGCCATGATGTCCGGCCTTACCTTGGGTCCAGAGCTACAGAGTCAGCCATCTGTCAATCTAGGCCTCCAAAATCAGAGCCAAAGCAACTTTTCCTCCTCTAATTGCTCTTGTCAGATTCTTTTTGGTCACTGCGATGATAAAAAGCTGACTAAAATAATCAGTGGTGTATGATTTAATGTGATGGTTTTCATTGACTCATCCACTTAATTTTCTTTCTTCTGTATAAAAAAAATGGCAGAAAAATAGCAGAATTCCTTCTCTACTCCCGAGGAAACAAGAGCAAAATCCTTTCTTTTTACTCTTTTTGGAAACTGTGAAATGTTCGAGCGTGCTTATGTCTTTCTAAGAGTGAACTTGATCCAGAGATCAAGTCCACATTATGCCTAGTCCGTAGTCTATTTACCTTAAATACTCAAACAAATCAATTTCTTTATTTTTTTAAAAATTAGAACTTCAAAGAAAGTTCTGACATCGAGCTTCTCTGGAAAAATAAGATGGAAAATCTCCAGACTGGCCTCTCTGTATGGCTGAGTGGCAGGTGTCTTCCTTGGTGGGACACTCACTAAAGTCTGTGCCATTTCCTTTTAAGGTCCCACCCTGGCCAGTTTTTGAAAGCATTTCCATTACCCAGTTGGGTCTCTTTGGTCAATACACTCTAAGTGAGGCAGAGGAGCAGAGCAGAGCCGTGAGAAGACAGCAGCCACGTGGAGAAAGCAGTGCTAATATTGACATTTTGGGACTAACCCGGTGACATTGGAGGTGGAGATGACAAGTAGCAGGAATTGGGTAATGACAGGGGAGTATCCTCAAGTTTAAATATATTTTTAGTGTCAAGTAAATGTTGAAGCATATTTGAACCCTGTTAATCAAATCAAGAGTATCAACAACAAAAACTGAATAGAGAACAGCTTGGGAGGAGTCAAGCGGTGGGAATATGTAAATTCATTTCTCCCATAGGATTCTTGATACCCATACTCTACTTCCCCAAGGGTAGTTCAATCAGGCTTTGTGTCGATGGTTAAGCTATAGCAGTGGTAAGCAGCCAACAACCCTGTTCAAGATGGTAGGTTGTCAAATATATGAAACAGTGTGCAACATCTCTCGCATTCAGAGAAATGCAAATCAAAACTACTCTACGATTTCATCTCACTCCAGTCAGAATGGCAACTGTCAAGAATACAAGCAACAGTGAATGTCGGTGAGGACGTGGGGGAAAAGGCACACTCATACATTGCTGGTGGGACTGCAAAGTGGTGCAGCTACTCTGGAAAGCAGTATGGAGATTCCTCAGAAAACCTGAAATGAAACCACCATTTGATCCCATTATCCCACTCCTGTATGTATCCAAAGGACTTAAAATCAGCGTACTACAGTAACACAGCCACATCAATGTTTATAGGAACTCAATTCACAGTAGCTAAGCGATGGAACCAAACTTGGTGCCCTTCAACAGATAAATGGATAAAGAAAATCAGGTAATATATACACAGTGGAATATTACTCAGCCTTAAAGAAGAATGAAATGATGGCATTTGCTGGTAAATGGATGGAGCTGGAGAATATCATGCTAAACAAAATAAGCCAACCCTCAAAAAAACCAAAGGTCGAATGTTTTCTCTGAGATGCAGATGCTAATTCACAATAAGAGGGGGTGGGTGCTAAGGAAGAATAGTTACTTTGGATTAGGCAGAGGGGATTGAAGGCAGGGGACATTATTGAAATCAAGGTAATAATTGGACATTATTACCCTATGTGCATGATACAGGACTGTTCTAAGTCTACATCACATACAACCAGAAGAATGAGAAGTTATACTCCATTTAGGTCTGATGTGTCAATGTGGATTCTACTGTCACAGACAGCTAATTAGAACAAATAAAGAAGATACTAGGTTGTCTCTTTCCTTCTAGGCATATAGCAAGATTGCAGTTTTCTTCCGTGTTGTACGGCCACGTGACCTGTTTTGGCCAACGCAGCCCTGAGTCTAAGTGAAGCGATGCCTTTGGAGGCAGACTCTAAGAGCCGAGGATAGGAGGCCCTTTTCCTTCTGCAATGGAGATGTTCCTGGGGGTGTTGCTCCACCAGGTATGTCTCTCTGGGACAGCAGCTGTCAGCAGACCCCTGACCTTTCCTTGTGTGAGGCCACTGTGGGCCGATCTAGCAGCCACACAGCTTCGGCCCTCCTGATGGACCTACCCTATGAACGTCATTCATCCAGGGTTTGTGACATACTTACTGCCTGTACCGCTATTTTCTTACTATGGTGTCCTTAAGCCATCCTAAAATTAAAAATTCAAAAACTACAGCCTTGTTCTAAGTCACGCATATGGTACACACAAGTTATATTTCAATGTTCAAAATATAGAAGAAAAGTAACCTCCCAGGCCCACATTTTGGGGAAAAAAAATGAGATGAAATAGAAATGAATGTGCTGGTTAAGTTTGCAAAATATGAAATTTTGCTGTCAGTAAGCAGGTTAGGCTTCAAATTTGAATATCAATATTCAGTGAACTATGCTGTTTCCTCCTCCTCCTCCTCCTCCTCCTCCTCCTCCTCCTCCTCCTCCTCCTCCTCCTCCTCCTTTGTCGTGCTGAGGATTGAACCCAGGGCCTTGTGCATGCACGGCAGGCACTCTACCAACTGGGCTCTGTCCCCAGCCCTATGCTGGTTTCTTGATATACCAGGAATCAGAAAGGGATGCATCTTATGCATTTAACATGGGTGTGGATTCACCATGTATATTCCATACAGGGTTTGTTTATAAAAATCGTTAAACAGGACAACCTCATCAGCGCCATGATCTAATTTGTATATGCAAATTCAAAGGTGTACAGGTGTAAGGGGTAGACACACTCATTTTGATAGGCATCCTTATTGCATCCTTGAGTACTTGACCTTCAGCACCAATTAAAATCATTATGTATACAGCTGGTAAATCCTGTCTTATAGGTGACAAACAGACTCCTGCATAATTAGCATTTTTCTAACAAATTGCATAAATTACAGACAAAGGTCTAGGATACGTTATAGGCTTTTTCTTGACAGCCGAGAAAAAGCCTTGGAAATGTGTGCCAATGGATACGACCGACTGTCAGACTCCAAGTAACTCACATCCGTTTAAAGGACATAAACAACATGCTTTCTACATGCAGCCCATGGATCGTAGAAAATGCAAGTGTGACGTGTTTAGGTATTAGAAGAAAACCTGTTGTCTCAAAAAAGATTCCATCGAAATAATAAGAAGTCAAGGTTGGAATGAGAGATGTTTATAAATTCAAAAAAAGAGAATGAGACATAGATAAATATTGGAAAGATTGCTAAATATTGGAAAGATTGCCATAACAAAGAAAAATTGAACTTCTTTGTCACATTCGACTTCTGTTCAAAGGAAGTAGCAGGTGCCGAGAGAGTGGGCAAATCCACAAATGAGATCTTGGGCTAACATTAAGCTTACCTTCAGGCAGTTCTGGAAGTTTCCACAGGGAATGGTGCATTCTCTTTCTGCAGAGAGGGTTCTACGCAGGACCGATATCAAGGAGGAAACCAAGAATCTACCTCCTCCCTTATACAGCATCAGCCTTTTGATGAACATTTGGCCCCGGAGTAAAGCTAATAAATACCCCCCACACACACTTCTCACGAGCAGACAAGAGATTCCTACAGGTTAACCAAAGGCTCCAAACGTTTCAAGAGAGTACCTTTCATTTTCTCTTAATAGGTCCTTCCCCTTTTTCCAGGTGTAGACAGGCTTTGGAGATGCTTTGGGCTTGCACTCAATGACCACTTCCCCTCCCACTTTGACGAGAGTGACTCTCTTCAAGAGTGTTCTTGAGAAATCCGGACCTGCTGCTGGAAGACAAAATAGAGAATAAAACAATGAATTCTTTTGCAAGGGGAAAAAGAAAAAAATATGCACCAAGATTAATCTGGGGTCTTTTTCTTTTTCTGATGCAATTATTGTTCCTTTGTCCATCAAAGGCAGGAAGCTGAATTTGTCCTAAAGGGAGGAGCACCCTACGTTTTGATGCGTTTATTAAAATAAAAGCTGTAATTTCTATATGCTAAAATGCTGCAGTTATATGAATACAGCTTGATGGGTCTGGTATATTCCCTGATATAAAATGTTCTTATTACTCTATTGAGGATTCTTTTTTTTTTTTTTTTAATGTATTCTAGCTGGAAGTGGTGGCATGCACTTGCAATCCCAGACCCTCAGGAGGCTGAGGCAAGACTATCTCAAGTTTGAGGCCAGCCTCAGCAACTTCGTGAGACCCCGTCTCAAAATAAGACATTAAAAGGGCTGCGGATGTGGCTCAGTGGTAAGGCACTCCTGGGTCCAATTCCCAGTAACATGCTCACAAATTCATATTCAAGAGAACAAAAATTTAAAAATTTCACAGAAGCAAAAGGGATAGAAACAAAACAAGAAAAATCTATTTATTTATTTATTTTTCTTGATGTGTGAGCTGGAACATGGCCTCTCTGATACAGTCACTACCTGTGCTCTGTCCCCTTACACTCTGTGTATATACAGAAAATGTGCTGAAATATCTGTACGGCCACCCTCCGGGCACTTCTTACAACCCAGGGCTCTGTTCAGCTTTATGCAATGCTTGCTCTATTTAGGGGAAATTACAGCTTGGTCTTTGTTATGGCTTGGATGTATGGTGTCCCCCCAGAGCCCACGTGTGAGACCATGCAAGAAAATTAAGAAGTGTTGGGGTTATGAGAGCCTTAACCTGATCAATGCATTAATCCACTGATATGGATTAACTCGGTGGTAACTGCAGGAGGTAGAGGGAGGCTGGAGGAGATGGGTCCCTGAAGGCATGACTTTGTGGTATATATTTTGTCCCTGGTGAGCAGAACTCTCTGCTCCCTGGTGGGCCCATGCGGAGCCACTTTCCTCCACCACACCCTTCCGCCATGATGTTCTGCCTCTCTGGGGCCCAGAGCATGGAGCTGGCTGGCTGTGTAGACAGAGACTTCCGGAACCGTGAATGCCAAGTAAACTTCTCATCTACAATTGTTCTTGTCAGGTTTTTTGGTCATGGCCATGAGAAAACTGACACTAAAATAGTCTTGGATCACAGACATTTAGAAAACTGTATTGCAGGCTTACAACGAGTGTTCTGAAAAATTCCCTCATGTTGGTACCGGTTATAAAGTCACAGGGAAATAATATTAAAGAAAAAAAATTACGCCTTCCTAAGACAAAAGATAGACATCGGTATCCTCACTGTAAAAAAATAAAACAAAAGATACCTTCTGAAAAACCTCTATTTTCTTCTGAGTTAATTGACTTCGTGGGTGAGGAGGGATTTTGAAATCAGTGGGCAGATTTATCTTATTTAAATTTCATAATTTACCTTATTTAAGAAAATTTTTTTTTGCCTCCCTGCAGTTGATCTGATGAAATTCAAGATTTTTAAGACACCTTGAAGGTAAACATTTAAGTCCAAACCAATGATTAATTAAAGGAAAAATGGGAGTGAGCCTGTATGTATGTATATGAGTGGGAAATGTGAGCCCGTGTCTTCAACGTACCTGCATCATAAGCTGGCGATTTAAAAAGAATAAAAACAAGCTTCACTGGAAGAAGCTACATTTTCATTAAGTGCTTTTGTGCAGCTGGACAGTGGATTTACCCAGATACCCAGGAGCCTGGTATTACGATGTGAAGGTGCCATTAAATAAATGAATCCAGTAGGCAACTGATTTCTCAACCAAGGTGCCTCTGATTCATGAGATGAGTTCAAAACTCAGAGACCAATTCTACAGGGATAAAGGCCATTAACAAGCAGAGTGCAAGTAGAGATGCTTCTGCTATACAGCAATAGTGCATTCCTCATGGTCTGCAAAATCACAAAATAAAAATAATAGGGTCTACGAAAAAAGAGTCAGGGCAGATGTGATTATTTACGTAACAAAAACGACAACAAAAGAATAACCATCTGAATAAATATTAAGTATGATTAAATACAAAGCATGATTAAGAAGACAAGTTACATTCCTAACAAATACTGCAAAAATATAGAGTGCATGTGAATAAAGATTGATGGAGGAAAGAAAGAGGAAGAGTGGAGATTGTTAAGCTAGGAAATAAGTGCAAATCACAGACAGATGAAGAACTATGCAATAGGAACAGCAATATTGAAGCATGTGGTCAGCAGGGGATGGTGGTGCACACCTGTAATCCCAGCAACTCAGGAGGCTGAGGCAGGAGGATCACAAGTTTGAGGCTGGCCTCAGCAATTTAGTGAGGCCCTATGCAATTTAGTGAGACCCTGTTTCAAAAAAAGTCTGGGATGTGGCTCAGTGATAAAGTCCCTAGGTTCAATCCCCAGTATCATAAAAATAAACAAATTCATTATCTATATGGCCAAATTGACAAGCAGAAGATTGCTGTGGGGTAAATAGAATTCATGTGCAATGAAAGATTTTTTTTTCTTGCTTAGATAGCTATATTGATTTGTTAGTGGGTTGTGTAAATAACCCTTAGTTAAATATTTACTAAATACTAAGTATTTACTAAATACTTGTAAATAAATCCAGCATTTATGCTATGTTGACATTATTCACCACTTACGAATCCTAAATAAACTAAACAATGTCACAGAAAAGTGTTTCCGAAAAGACTTCTCGGCTTAGGTAAACATCAGAAGTGACATAAAAATGTTGGAAAAAAAAAATCAGGTCTTCTAGAAGTTTTTTTAAAAGGGTATTTTTTGAAATACAGTTACAAATCTTTCTCATATAAAAAAATCCCTTCTTACAACTCTATCTTTCTGCACACATATTTTTATCACTCTAGGCAGATATTTTTCATCTGTTCAGGAGGAATTCTGCTGTTGCATTTGGAATGAGTTTATATAAATCAAACTGTGCACGATGTATGGGTGTATTTGTCAAAAAAAACTATATATATTGCTTCTGCAGGATTTGAAATAACAAACTGAGACACACAGAAGGCAGAAAACAAACACCTTCGAAGTTTCAAAGGTATTTTAAATACATTATTTATGCACATATTAACTTCTGGATATCCCAGAGATAAGACTGACTTGAACATCTTCCACCAATAAAAAATGGAATTGTACATTAAATCATTTCCTTTTGGTTACTCCATTTGATGACCTGGCTCCTGGTATTATCTAACCCTGCAAATCTACCAGCTGTCACCATTCTAGGGTAAAATCACTGGAGCGTCCTCAGGTTCTGAATATTTGACCTTCATGGGCTTCCTTACATTCCGCCATTTTGTGACCACATTTTTCACCTCAGATGGCTGCCCAGCTTGGAGGCTGGTGCTTTTTTCTTCCTGGTGCCCTATATTTACTCTGATCCCTCAACCTGGATCCAGGAGGTACTTGAAGGAAAAGTGAAATGGGCCTGAGAAGTTTGATGTTCACAGAGATGTCATTTAAGGAGTTATTGGTAAGATTCCCAGCGGTGCACTATTAGAACCTACCCCTGGCTGCCTTGCATAGGGAATGTGAGAAATACGTCAGTAAATTCCTAAGGGATCAGAAAAAGAAAAAACAAAAAGGTCCAATGTGAAGGATACAGAAATGACAACCTCCTAAACGCTGTGGCCTGGGAAGAGGGAGGGAGGAAAAGGATAAAACATTGGTAACATCGATCCTTTCCCAATACCTCCTTTCCCAGTGACAAGGCAACCCCTGGGAAGGAAGCAAACATCAGCCCAATAACAAGATAATCTCTGGGAAAAGGAAAAGCATGGATCTGTTCCCAATATGTCCTTTCTCAATGACCCTGGAGGAAGAGATAAGCAAGGGTTGCCAAACTCTGGACCCTCCGTCCTTGCCCAGTAAAAACAAATTTCTAATTTTTGCAACCTTTTCCCCGAATGCCCACGTCCCATTGAAGTCTTCAATGGCTAAGTCACATTCCAGTGTGTGACCTATATCAACGCAGACCTCCTTCCAGTCATTGGTGGCCATTTCCGATCCAGAAAGTGAGCCCATCCGATGCCTGACTCTGCTGCCAAACAAAAAGGCACAGCGGATCCACGAAGTCTGCTCCCTCCCTGGTTATTTGTGCTTTCCCCGTGGAGCCAAAACCACGTTGCTTATTTTTTTGATTAAAAGATGACCATCTGAGAGTTTGAGAGCAGCTCAAATACGAGGGGATCTTCATCTGCTAAATTGAAAGGGCAGATTTTTCTCAGGTGAACTACCAGAGGGCACCTCTCCCTCGGGATGGGGACCAGTCATGCCAAGCGACCTCTCGTCCATGGGAAATGCAAGTGGGAAAAACTAGTTCAGCCTGTGCCTCCATTGGTGTCCCCTCCCAAGGGACAGAGTGGAATGTTGACTCTTTAACTAGATGCCCAGTGGCAGCTGTATTTGAGGCATGCACGAGGATCATGTTTTTCTGTGCTATTGAAAAGGAAAAGACAATTAAGGCATGCCTGCTCTATCACAGTTGGTCCCCAGAAACGTTCTGGGAGCCCTGCCAGTTGGTGGAGACTCTTCAGGCCAGCCCTTTGGAAGTTCAGAATTTCACATGATTTGAATCTTGGCCCATTTTTCTTTAACCATTACCTCATCGTTCCATAAAACCCAGCCTGGAGTGAATGCATCCATTCAGATTTTCCACCTTTGAGAAGAGAATGTCACTCTCAGATTATGAAAGCCCAAACCCCTCCTGGCTTCCTGGGGAGCGATCTTGAAAGCACGCTGCAATGAAAAATGTCTTCTCTCTGGGTCCACCATTGCAGGGCGATGAATTCAAAAAATCTCTTCTCCCTCATCAAGAATCATAAGGAGACACCCAGGAAAGCTCTGAACATGATGATTTTTTTCATTCCACTGTGAGCATGATGT